GCCGTAGTCACTCGACGACGCAAAAGATCTTCCTCCATAGTTGTCTCATAATTGTGATACTAGCGTCAAGCTAGTATGTTAGTCTGCTACAATTGAACTTCCATAGATTTTCAAGTTGCTTTTAATTTACGTTCTACGTGAGATCAGACGGTGTTGCGTTAACTCAAAGGATATTGGAAAACTGCCATACTGTGTCCTGAAACGCATTCACGTAATCAACGTACACTGTATAATACCACGCCACGTGCGCCCACGAATATCCCTCTCGGTCCAAGGGCCAACTCGATACGACCAGTGGGTGAACAGTACGGTGATGGATTGCCGATCGACTTGACCATCTACGGACGCGTGAATGTTGGTAACGGGGGAGGGTACTATACCAGAGAGCAAACCTGTCCCCAATACAGTGCCAGACGCAGTAGCAGCAGCGGCTACATTCATCAACTCAATCACCAAAACTGCTAAAATGTCCACAATACCTCTACCGAGGATCGAACCCACGACCTCCCACTGATGCAGATCTCTGCAGGAACTGTCACAACTCTACTCACTCCGCCAAAACTACTAGAAACCACTGATTACCATTCACACTACGTTTATTTCGAGAACGACAATTAACAATACCGCTCCGTGACCACCAACCACTCTGGCAGCCGTCGCAACTACTAATGGGATGAAAATATACTCATGCGAAAAGGAGATCTACTGGAGTTACGCTGATTATCATGATGATGACAGTAGTACGAATAAGAACAGCGGCAATTTTATTCATTTGTTTCGGGAGTACATACACTTCCTTTACTCATCTTCTTCATCAGAGAAAACAATCTCATCGTCACCGTAACTGAAGACACGACATTTTCAACAATATGTAAGGATAGGAAAATAACCATATACTTAACAGTCGTTGAGAAAACTCCCAAAGCGAGCGAACACAGGCATACATTACCATGCCGATTCTACTACTCCCACGATTTAACCACCGACATTATTACAGATCCTTCAGCTCCTGTTCTCTCTCCCGAGCTCTCTCAACCTCGGCAGCTACTTCAGCGCGTCGCTCCGCTCGCATTTTAGAAAGATCAAAGTCGGACAAATCAATCGACAAAGCATCGTTGACCTAGCAAAGTTCAACAGCATAAGCAACTTCATTGGCCGCCTACACCGCCCTACAATCTTCTCGAAAATTTTATCCTTCTCCTCGAGCTCAGCCAACTGCTTTGGCAACTTCCAATCACATGCCGGATCCTCTGCCCTCAAAATGGTCATCAGCGAATGAGTATCCTTACATTCCATGAGGATCTCTTGGAACGTCTATGCAAGGGAAAAAGATACTCATATCCACAACAACAACACTACTCTAGCCCACCTGCATGTACATCAGCGCAAACTTGAACATGTATCCCTCTACACCATGCTCAAGGTAGAGCTCATAGAAGTCCAACAGGGCCTCGAAAGGCAGGACCTAATCACCCGCGATATCCTCAAGCTCCTCAGGTAGATCTGCTTACATGAAGCCCTAGGCCGATGAACCACTTACTGCAGTACATCTCCGGCAAGATGCCCTTCGAGCTGAGATGTGCGTGCAACTGCAGAGACAAGCACCCTCACCACTACATCCTCTCTATTCCTCCCCTGCACCTCAGGCATGCGCTTCTTCATGATCTCGCCAAAGACCCTACAGTCAGCCAAAAAGGCCTGAGGAGCTCCCTTGAAATACCCATCAGAGTGCTTCTCCGAACGATGGAGGGCCAACACCAGTCCAGCCGCCTCTTCAGGGGACAAGAACAATCCCAAGAAGGCGGCAATATATCTACAAAAACGCTGTTCAAGAAGGCAATAAAAATCCATCAGCACCCCATCCCCTGGTGATAGTCCTTAGTCTCAACTGCCGCCATACGAAGGGTATCAATATGCCTCCTCTGCCTCTCCTCGATCCGCTTCTTACAGGCATTATGCTTCTCCACCACTGTTGGATCCTTCGAAGAGGCCCGGTCGGGAGTGACATACCTAAGGGAGGAGATGCGAGACCATTGCAGTACGATGGTGTAATATACGTTCGCTCAGCGTCCCGCTCGAAGATACGCACAAGCTCGGGTTCATCGCAGAACTTCCCAGCCTCACAAGCTCCCGAATCGGGCAGATAGTCGGCCCAACCCTTTACTCGAGTGATAACCTCTTCAGCATTCTTCTCCGAAAGGTAGTTGCGGAGATTCCTAACGATAACAGCTCCATTGGAAGAAGGGGCGATAGTAGCGACAGCTAGTCGCGACCATAGTGGTAGTCTCCACTACACTCTTAGTGATAGTAGTACTACCGTGCCATTAAAGGAGATGCCTTCTCGTCCTCGAAGAAATTCTCGGTGCGGATCATATTATGCGACAATTGAGTACTACCAACCAAAAGAATAGGCGACGATGCAACTAGGCTACCACAGGAAAAGGATAGAAACACGCATCTAAGGCTTCTCCTCAGCATGCTTACTACGGTATCGATTAATTGCCGAGGTGAACCTAGGGAGTCATTGCGAACAACCATATTATTCAAAGCATCAAATGGTGAGGAGTATGCAACATGAACCTCAGCCAGTCATCACCATTGTCATCGTCGTTACTGTCTCTGAATAGTATTGAACACAACGTCAAACTCCTCCAAAGCCCATATCATAGCATCATCAGCAGCCGTGCCTGGGTAGGTCTGAACACGTATCTGAAGTACTCTTAATGCAGCAGCAGCAGCAGCACAGGAAAGCTGGTGAAGCTAGTACGTTGACGAAGGGCTCGTTAGGGTGAGGCACGGAGTAAGTCGAGTTTTTACTGAAACAGTGGACCTTTATCCTTATTCCTGCAACTAATTCTTTCCCTTCTGCCACAATTATTAATGCTGTATTATTTATTAGCTAAGAAATACCGCACCGACTTACCTAGAGTGTGGTACACATTCTGAATGCTGATAGGTACCGCATAAGTCCTATGTAGACGACGGCATGCTGTACCGCGGCCGTGGCCTATGTAGACCACTGTTCGGAGAACCAGGTTTCACCAACTCGCCAAGCTTGGTGATTTCGGGTCCTAATGAACTCTCGCCAACACGCTCAATCATGGGATACGACCGCTTCTGGACCATATTTCACCTCTTTGGCATCAACACCTAACGAATTTCACCGAGATGTGGCGGAAACTGGTTGAGGTAATCCGTAGTTTCGTTCGCCCAAATGATCTATTACGTTCTGTGCGCACGGTTACAGCAACTTGGTATTGGTGTAACATGCCAGTGGCTCAGATATTGCCACAAAACTTGGTGAACTTATCGGTATTTGCCAAGTACGTGTCGTAAAATGCCGATATCTTGGTATAATCATTTGTTTATGAAGATTAGACCATCTTTGGCGATGTCCGCCTTTTATCGATCACGGTTGGTATATTCCCGAGTCGGAGTCGAATATCGCCAGGTTATTTGTTCAAATCTGGTTTTGTGACAGGCTTTCGCCACAATTTTGTGATGATTTCTGTCCGGCGAGAGTTGTATCAAGGCCGCATACCGCCAAGTTGGATTCAACCGCACACTTCCCCCTTGGTTCTGCTTTTCGTTGTCTGTTCTCAGTGACTTTCGATGTTTTTGGACTGTGAGTTTAAATGATTTTCATGTTTCATGGTAGGGCGATAGACGGTCTATCATAGACCGATCGAGTACAGGAGAGTTCGCGCGGGAAGCCCAGGATCTACTTACATGAGCTTTACCACGGCAGAGTTAATCCTTTGTCAACTTTGCCGAGCCGGCAAGGCCCAACGAGGAAGTTGAACAGCGTCGTATGGCCTTGTATGAATCGATCAGTGATCTCCGATCATTATATCACCATAGAAGTTCTCCTTTTCGATGGAATGCTCCGACCAAAGCTCCAGTTCAATAATTCATGGCTGAATAAGGCTCCGACCAAGGCTCCGACCAAAAAGCAGCTCAGGCTTATTTGGAGAGACTGCGGCAGCACTTGAAGGAGGTTCAACAAATTGGGTCACAATACATCAAGCAGGTGGCAGGGAAGCGAGCGCTGGAACATAGAGAGGATATGGAGCCTGAAGAGGTGTTTCAGCCTGAGGCTCAGGTACCTGAAACTTTCAGGTAGGGTGTCCTAACAGGATAGTATCCCTATGTGGGTGACTTGAGTTCAGGTGGGCGACAAAGTTGCCTCTAAAAGAGACTCTTCGGCCACAGTACATAGCTCTAAGTTCCAGAAGCGC